GGGGGAGCGATTTATAATCCTAGAGTTGACCTTCAAATCTCTAAGGGCCTTTGTGGTCCAGCCCAACTCAGGGGGCTCTGAAAGTTTTTGAGTAGTAGAGTCACAAGGGCGAACGACAAGCTGCCTTGACTCATTTTAAGAAAGAGGCAATATTAATCAACCAGTCAATTCATTTGTCGGGAACGCAAACGGAGGGGCAGATCATGGAACCTGGCTGGAAGATCCCTTTGAAAGCAACTATAGGAACCCGGATAATTAGTTAAGGAAAAATGGAAAGAAAAATAAAGGAACGATGCGAGGCAGGACTAAAAAGACTGGGAGGTAAGCGAGAGGGAAAACTAAGTGATGATGTAAATGCGATAAAATAAAAATGATAGCATCTTGGACAGACCTAAGTGCATCAGGAGGCGTAACTCATTTTCGATGAAAGATGAATTCAGTACTGTCTATGTTCAACTCGAAACGCCCATCAAAGATGAAAGCAGGAATATTAAGCGAATAATTGGACGTAATAGTTTCAAAGCACAGAACGCAAACTGGAGAAATAGTGGATAAAGACAGTAGATAAGACGAAGGCATTCAAAACGGAACAACTGAAGCCAAGGGCGGAGCCTTGGTTATGTCTCCATCTATGGGGGAGGTCAGGTGGAAGGCAGGAAGACAGAAAAGGAAGAAAAGAACCCTTAAGTGAGCAAGTGCCCCAGGATAAAGTATTTCGAAAAGGAGGAATGATCAAATGATGAGAAAAGACAACTGGTCTAGAAATGAGATCATCTGGCGACGTTGGAGACAGATCTTTTTAAGCTGTAATAGGGGCTTAATCCAGATTACAGTATGAGGACGGCGCTAATGAGAGTCTGTGGGAGGCGAGGAAATGCAGGCCACACTGTCTACTCTTCTGAGAAGTTGGCCAGGAGAAGGAATGAGAAGGGATGGTCATCAGACGGGTTAGCGCAGTTCAGAGAAAATGTTTCGAGACGAGGAACCCTGCACATCCTTGTGCTCAGGGAAAGAATGTTTAAGGGGAAGGAGAATTGGGAGTTTGGGGGAAAATACGAAGCAAGATGGCACCAGCTGACTGGAGACATTTAAGTCCCACCATATTAAACATGTTGAAAGTAAGACCAGATGAACAAAGGGCATGCAGCTGGAAAGCCGTACCGATGAGGAAGGGGGCAAAGCAAGCGCATTGGGGGGGTGGACAAAAGCTACTAGAAAGGAGACAAATGGGAGGTCCCTAAAGCCTTCGAGACAATGGCAAATGGTTTCTTAGGAAGCTTCAGCCCCACTGAGCTCTGGACCCTGAGGGCTTGGACCCTGCACCTCTCTGCCCTCACTGCGTCCTCCTTCAGAACACTGCTGCCTCCACAGCCCGACGCGGACCTGCTCGCCGTCTAGAGAGGCTCACATCCAGGAGCGGGGAGCTCGATGTCAGGGGCTCTGGGCACCGAGCTGCTGGGGTCAAGATGCCTCTACTCCCTTTTCTTTCAAAACTATCGCCGATACAGCAAGGAGAACAAGAGTCATATCTATTTTCAATGAAACTGAGAGAGGTTAGTACACAGAAAGGAAAGGAAGATGAAGGACTGACTGGTGAGTTGGCGGAGGGAGATATGCATGAGAAGCAAGATGTTTTGCCTGGCTTCACTCCAGAAAGGCTCAAGATTTGAGGTACGGTGAAAAGAGAGAGGTGGCCGGAGACTTGAAAACAGTGGAGTCTGGAGCTATCTACCCCTGGCTCCACGAGGAATCTCTTCTCTCTGGAGCCTTGGGGACAGCAGAGGTGGAGAAGAGCATGTGTGAGTCAGGGATTTAAAATTGGGAGAGTAAATAAAATTGTACAAAGCAAGCAGCGGGACCCCCAACTCTCCCCAGGGCTAGCCCTGGGACTGCACCAGAGTACCTGGCAGTGAGCCCCACCTGACTCAAGCCGTGTCTGTGCACGTAAGGCTTCCAGACAGCTTTTTAGCTACATTCTGAAATATAAAGGAAAAGCCAAGGAGCACCAAATATATGAAGGGAACCCCCTCATGAAAGAGTACAAAAACCGTCATTATATTTTCAAGTAAAAGATGGTATCGCATCTAAAATACAAGAACAGGATGAGGATAAAAATAGGAACAATACAGAGCCAAAAAGGAACTCTTGGAAAGTAAGGGTGTGATAACAAATAAAATATTTTTTAAGTGGTGAAAGTATTGGAAAATAAGAAAAATTCGTTAGAAACTAGTACAAGAAATAAAGCATTAGAAAATGTGAGATAAAGGTTAAGGAAAATTCAGGAGATTAAACATCCAATTCATAGGGATTCAAGAGAGGGAGGGAAAGAAAAAAAGAAAATTCACAATTGAAGGACATGCATTTCCAGATAAACGGATCTAAGTAGCACGATAATAATAAAAGACCTAAAGTAAGGCACATCATTGTGAATTTCAGAATCTCAAATATAAAGATAAAATCCTAACGCTTCTAGAAAGAAAAAAAAAAAAATTAACCCCTTCCCCAAAACAAGAACCAAAGTAGCATTGAGCTTCTCAAAAGTAACATCTAAAATTAGAGAACAGTGGAACCATGCCTTTAATATTCTGAGGGAAAATTATTTTCAACCCAGAATTCTGTATTCTACCAAACAAATAGTTAAGTGCGATAGTAGACTAGACATTTTCAGACATTAAAGATTTTTTTTAAATGATTTCCGTGCACTTTTTCTGAAGCTATAAAAACATGTGTGCCACTAAAAAGAGAGAAACAAACAAACAAAAAAGATAAAACATGAGCTGCAGGAAATGGAAGACAGAGGCAGAAGAAATATAAAGGGAATTCACAGCATCGTAGCAAAAGGAAGCCTCAGGATGCAGCCAGTTTAGAGCACGAGCATTCCAGATGGGACAGGAGGAGAGGGGGCTTCAGGAGCCATGTCTCCAGGCAACGAAACACACACATGGAAGGAGCAGGTAGGTATCCCATCGACACCATTGAGGGAGATTTTACAGGACTTCCGTAGTAAGAAAGCTTGGCTACAGATTCGAAGCGAAGCATTTCAGGTTTCCCGTCATCACTTGCAGCCACATAACAAGAATAAACTGAACAAACTGCAGATCAAAACTTCTTCTTAGTTTCCTCAAAGAAGTGAGGTCACAGGGCAAACTGCTGGCCCCCAAAACTGAAAAGACAGGCAGAGGAGCACAGAGAAGCACAGTTTACCTGGCACAGAAGCCCACAGCTGGCGCCAATCACGGTGGGATGACTTTAAACTGATCGACACGCTGCTGGAGATTCAGTGTGGATGAGCCTGAGAGTTAAAAATGAGGGGGTCCAGCTTGAGGGGGCACCTACACATTTGTGAATTTTACTTCCATGAGCCCTGCCAGATTCTCGCATTGAAGATGGGAGAAAAAGCCCCTGTCATCCTGGCAGGAGAAAGAGAAAAGTAACCATTCTGAAATGTGCCCATAACGCTCTGTTCTCCTAAGAAGCTCTCTGTTCCATCAGTGGAAACTATCGTACCAGAGCCTGACCAACTGGAGTTTTACTAAAACCTAACCCTAACCCACCCGGAGAACAGGAAATACCCAGCTCCGGGTCCCTCCAGGCTTTGACATGGAAGAAGAGAGAGACCTCACTCAGGTTCACTAACAGACTGAAACGCAATCGCGGGACCACCCAATGATGCCCCTTCCCCACACACCATCACATCGAGAGGGCACCTGTGTAACAACGGGGTATGGCTGAAAGAATTGCAAGCCGCGGACCCCATTGAAGAAGACGTCTCTAGGGAAACTTGAAGGCAACAGGAAAGACAAGATACAAGAATATTAGAGGAGATTTTAACCTGTGATACCACAGCTGT